CTTTGAACCATGATTCTTAATAATGATCACTTAATGCTTTGAAAGATTTACTGTCAAACCAAGGACCCTTTGATTAAGCTGCGACAAAGGCAATCCGTGATCTGCTCCTTAATACCGAAGCCTTCCACCCTTCAGTACCGCTAATAAGGGCCCCATCAATAGACGCAAGATAAGCAGAATCCAGGCTTCTTTGTGCCATTCAATGATCTATGTGATTACCTCTTCATTGTGAAAGCTTTTGGATTTTCAAACATTCGAAGATTTCTCCGTCAAATCCTAAGAAGCTCTTTCCTGGCTAGCAAGGTAAGGTACCTTCCTCACTTCATGTAAAGGAAGGAAGCGCTGAAAGACGCAATGGCAGGAGCGAGTGGTCTATGCAGCGCCGGGCTTACGTAGTGACCTCCGCCGCCATTACGTAGTGAGGCTAGTCACGTGGTACCGTGTTGGTCTCGTGTTTGGTCCGCTCGCGTCCTCGACCCCTGCCACCTTTTCCCTCCCCCACCATCTTTGATTGCCTGACTGCCGCGTCATTCACATTGCTGTTCACCAAGTCAAAGCCGGTTCGACAATGGAATGTCACGATGCCGCGGTCCAAAACCCTTCAAGCGGCAGAGAAGAAGGCTATCGAGGGCAATAACGAATCGCAAGATAGCCAAGCCATTTTCGACCGATATGTGGCAGAATACGGGATCGGCGTGGTACGTACGGCCATGTTTGCTTTTTCTAGGGTGGCGTTTCCCCCAGTGGAGGCGTATTTTCTGCCTGCCCTGAGCATGTCTGGTGGCTCTGCTGCTGGGCAATGGATTGGATTGGACTGGATTGATGGCGACAATTTAGCACTGCTACGACACAGGCCTTGCTGCGACTTTGCGCTAACTATTTCGGGCACCACCATAGACAAGCAGCTCGCCCCCAAGAGCATCGTCCACCGCGTCGCGACACACATCGAGAGGCAATAAACGACATCGCGACAGTCTTCTTTCGCGCCATTCCGATCCGTTAAGCCAAAGCGAAAGTCAGCGCACTGCCCAATCTTTCCCCAGCACTGCTCCTCTGGTAGCGAGTACAAAAAACGCGGTTTGTCACACCCTCCACCGACTGGACAAGGATGTCTCACATGGGGCTGGGATGGCACTGACCAGAATAGCTACCCCAGCACGACCTCGACCACGAAACTCCGTCACCCGCGTTGCCTGTTGTCGCTACCGCTGCGGATGCTGCAGACCCAGATTGCGGCCCAGACTCCGACACAATTCCTGCGAACCTGGCCTTGACAAGACTCAACATTCGAGACCACTCGAATTGTCTTGCAGCAGACCCAAACCCTCATGTCGACTACGACGCGATAAATCCGATACCTGAAGAGGTCCCCGCATCATGCACTACCGACAAAACCGCGAGGAAAGTCAATGCCCTCCCTAACGCTTCGGGCCCCGCGCTCTACACGAAAGTCAAGATGGACGTCTCGCAGCAATCCCCGACGCAAGATAACAACGATCGGGACTACGAGAACTACTACGAAGGCCCTTCATTTGTCGAGACGAGTCCTATTTCGCAGGACCACAGCGCCGAGCAGCCAGCGATACACGAGGAGGATTCCGCCGTTGTCGACTTCGGCAATCTCGACCATCTGATTCAAGGCGACACCCAGGGTGATACTCAGGGCGACGAAGAGCCTTCATCTTTCCCTGACCATGCCGCCCCTGTACACACCCGTGGAGCTTGGCGGAATCGCACTTCCAGTTCTCAACAACAATCCTCTGTTCAGCGTACCGACGGCCAGTCCCCTTTGCTGCCGACCGTCCCTCCGCCACAGACCCCAGCGCAACGTCATAACCCTTTTGCTGGAAAGAAGCTAGGTGACCCTGCCTTAGCAGGATCCCAACTTTTTGGCCAGACGCAATTTTCATCCGCAGTGAAGCATTTCAGCCCTACCTCTTCGAGACCATCGCCACACGTGTACGCCCACAACTCCATATCACCCAACATAGCTGAGACGTCGCCTCTTAAGAACCGGTACAACGTCACATCACCTCCCGATTTGCTTTCTTCGAGCCCTCAAGCTTTGCGAGTCCAAGGCCCGGCGCCCTACGCCCGCCAACGTAGCCCGAGCAACTCTGCGCCTCTCGAAGATGGCACTATACCGGAGTCACCGCAAATGCCTGCCACGAACACACGGGGCTTACCGGAACCGATGGGCATTTATGAAAGCATGATGGAATCACAAGAGAGGAAAAGAAAGAGTGCTGAGGTCCAGCCCGAACTTTCGGGAGAGGAATCCGACGACGTGGCCACGAAAATGGAGCGGAGGAAACGTGCTGCAATGAAAAAGAAGGCAGCCGCGCAAGATCTTACAGCTATTCCTGTGCAGCGCGCAAGCTCTAATGCGTCTGTCGAAGTGCCCTCAACGACCAGAAAGCCGAGGAAACCCCCGCCGAGGAGAATGCGATACCGTGCTCGACGTGCTGACGAGGACTCGACTGCATCCGAAGATGAGGGCGACGGGTTCACAGTAGCCGATTCCCAGGGCCACGCAACCGATCAGCAAACTCGTGCCAGAAAGTCGCCTGACACCGTGGAAGTAGGCAATGGCACGAAGAATGGCCTTGTTTCGAGCAACGATGCGGTGCCCGACAGCGCCGGGCCAACCCAGAAGTCTGCCTCAAATGGTGGGGTACCTGGAACAGAAAGTTCGGGCAACGGATCTCGGCCCAAGGACCTCCTTATACCGGAAACCAGTCCCAACAATACTCAATCTCGGCCAGAAGGGAGAGATGATGTGCCGCTAGACGTGTCAGTAGACATTAAGAAGTCTCAACAGGAAGAGGAACCAGGTGCACCGATGATCCAGCCAAACGATGTAGAAGCCGAGGCCGAGCTTCTACCCGAGACCCCAGAGCCCTCTCTCCCTCAGCCTTCTCGCCGCTCGAGCCGCAAGCCCAAGCCAACCCTCAAGGCACAGGTTCTCAAAGGTACTAATAGTGCCGTCGTGTCCTCAGATGCCGCCGCAACCAACGTGGCTACATCGCCAACTAAGGAGGAGCCAGATGAACGTCGACTCTCGCAGCGAAACGGTGCTAAAGTGGTCGACGAGGCGATAGCTACAGATGTAATCCATGCAGTAATGAATTCGACGGTGAACGGCGAGCCGCCTATGCCATCTTCACCGCCCCTACCAAAGGCTGTCAATGGTGTTGGGCCTCCAGGTACGATTCTTAGTGAGAGTCTTGCCGAGCAAGGTCCGGCAACGCCCGACAATCGTATCAATCCCGCCGCTCCAACAGCTCCTGGCTCAACAACATCAACACTCAGCGTACTCACAGCCACGCCGGTTCCATCCTCCAAGAGTCCGACTGCATCACAAGAATCGGTGGAATTACCACCTCTCTCACCAGATAAGTCCAAACGTGGACGCCAGCCTGCCAAGGCCTTGCCTAGACTCGTCACTGGATCGAGAGCTCCCAAGCAAGGAACCCGCAAGCAGGTCAGGAGGGCAACTCGACTTGATTCGGCGTCGACAGATGAGCTGCATCGATCACCATCTGTCAACGGATTCGAGAACAGCATCATTCAACCTCCGAAGACTAGCGTCAGAGGCAGCCGCCTATCGATGCTCTCTCACACATCGACGTCTAAAGACAACGCTAGCAAGCCTCCTATTTTTGCTGGCATGGCATTCGCGATATCTTTTCAATCGAAAAAGGACGGGGAAAAAGCGGATCACTTCGAGCAACGAATGGGTCAAAGTCGCGAGATAGAGAAAATGATTCTACAGTGCGGAGGCTTGTTGTTGAGCAATGGCTTTGACGAGCTCTTCGAGCCCAACGCTCTCGGAAGCATGGCAACCAGCCCAACCTCAGAAACGAGGGACGAAAACCCACTGACGCTGACCCCGTTTGCGCAGACCATTGGTTTCACCGCCTTGATCGCTGATGGTCACTCCCGCAAGGTCAAGTACATGCAGGCTCTTGCTCTAGGGCTGCCGTGCATTTCGGACCGTTGGATTGCTACCTGCGTTTCGAAAGGGACTCTGGTCGATTGGCTCCCATACCTGCTCTGCGCTGGTCAGTCCACTTTCCTCCGCGATGCCATCCGATCGCGATATCTAGCGCCCTATCCGGCCACTGACGCACGACTTGTGGACGTCATTGAGAGGAGGCCAAAGATGCTGGAAGGGAGCCAAATCCTTCTCGTGATGAAAAAATCTAGGGCCGAAGAAAAGAAGATGCCATATGTGTTCTTGGCGCATGTCCTCGGCGCCACACTCTCAAGGGCGTACAGCGTCGATGAAGCAAAGGAGACCTTGAGGCAGCGAGAACTCCTTGAAGACCCGTTTGATTGGGTCTATGTCGATGAACATACCGGATCGGAGGAAGGATTATTCAGCGCTGTTGCGAAGCCTTCGAAAGCATCGAAGAAGCGAAAGAGGGCTGCGCCATCAACAGACGACGCTCCCCGGCCGCCAAAGAGAATCAGGACGTTGAGCAATGAGCTTGTCATACAGAGCCTCATTCTAGGACGGATGATTGAAGAAGGTGAAATGGAGGTCTAAGTCACATGAGTGACCTGAAATGTATTACTATGTGAGATCTGGGATGGAAAAAAGGACGAGGGGAGTTGTTACAAGGCACTTTGACGGCGTTTGAGCATGGGACGGACATGTTATGGGGATGATACCTTAAAGCGAGAGGCAACCCTTGATATACTTTTGGTCAACGACCATTATCACCATCGTGATTCGAAATGAATCAACAGGATTGAAGTCATGTTTCCTGCGAGATGATGAGTGGGTTCAGCAGTGTTTCACGAGGAGCACAAAGTAAAACAAGTTATTGAGCGCGAAAACAGTAATCAATTCAGTGAAGTGATGGAGCCAGCCATGCCTTGTTAACAAAACGCCAAAGAACTCCTGATAGTAGGTACTTAGTTGCCCATCATTCCTGACCAATCTCGACACCTTTTGGCATTTTATGCCCAGGTCGGGGTCCCAATTCCCACGATTACTGCTTCCTGCTCACACTCGAGCCACGGCTGGGCGTGGGCGAGGGGGTGGTCATACCAGTGGCGGCAATGGTGACCTTCTTCTTCTTCGGCTCCGCGCTGCCCTTGGCGCTCGTCTCGACCTCTCCAGCCTTCTTGACTCGGAGAGGGACAGGGAGCGCCGTGGGCAGGAGGCGGACGTTGGACTTGCCCACCCCCAGCTGGGCTCGGTGGGTTGCTGCCGCGGAGCCGAAGGAGCCGATTGCCACCAGGCCCTTGGGGAGTTCCTTTCTCTTCTTGGTGCGCTTGGTGACCCTGTTGCTTGTCTTTGTACTGCTGGGAATAGGGGCAGGGTCACCAGAGGCCTTGGCGGATGGGTTCTTGCCCTTGGTCTTGGGCTTCGGCGTCTTGAGCTTCGGTGTCTTGGGCTCGGTCTTCGCCTTGGGCGACTTGGGCTCGGTAGACTTGGCCTTGGTCTCATCCGAGGTCTTCTTAATGGGTTTGTCGACCTTGGCAAGAGCCTTGGGCGACGACTTGCCTGTGGCGGAGGAAGGAGACGACTTGGTGACGTGACCGGACTTCTTCACTCCGGATGAGACGGGCTTCAGGACGTTGATCTTGACCTTGGCCACTCTCTCGATCCGAATGTTGGCGGATCGAGGGGCGGGCTTCAAGAAAGGCATCTTGAGTTGAGGTGAATGGGTATGTACAGAATAGAAGAGATTAGGTATGGTTGGATGGTTAATCGTGATCCGGTTTCTGATCTCTGTAGAGTAGAGAGATTTAGTCCTGAGAAGAGTGGTGGATGTGCGAGCAGGAGCAGCAAACCTTTGGACGGGATGATGCTGAATTATATAGGACGATTGATAGAACCTCGATGGCCGACTGTGAGGACAAACTCGGGAAACGCAACGGGCTGGCCGTGATGGCGCAAGAGTACCAGACTCTTGAAAACTATCGCAGAATATTAGCCCTCCCGGTCTAACAGGGTATCGTGGAGGGGATGCTTGTGATACTTACGACTGAGGATGAGGAAGGAGCTTTGGTACCGGACCGAAGCTGAAACGGTATCGGAGAAAAGCAGCGATTTGGAGAAGACACTGTACGACTAAGTTAGGTTTGCTCTTTCCTTGGTAGCTGATATGGTGTGTCTTACCTGGTTTCCGGATGGATGGGGATATTGCGATGGGAAGTAGGTGAAAGGGCAGGTACCAGACCGGTCAAAAGTATCGTAGAATGGGGGAATGAGAGAAGACCAGTCAATGGTCTTGAGAAAAGAATTAGTTCTGGAAAGCTAGGAGACTGGCTCAAGAGTTATTGGCGTGGAAAGTTGGGAAATTGAAAGAAGAGGGAGAAGTACCTGCTGAAATTGAGGAGAATGGTGAAAGGTCGACGGAGGAAGTTGAGGAAGAAAAATTGGAGCGGGAGAAATATTCAGGAGACCGGACTCTAGACTGTTAGAAAATGTGATTTCGGAAGCCTTGGTGAATGTGAACAAGTTGTGGGATCGCTTCTCGCTCAAGATTTTACGGTAGCCTGAGTCTTCAGGAGGCCAACGACAAGGGAAGGAAGGAGCGGAGTAGTATCACAATTGGAGAGGGGGCAGGACGAATACGCGGTGAATATACACTGGTCCCAGCCATCACCTTCTGATATCGATGGGAACACTGCCTGAGTGAAGCCAGAAGCTCGATTCGGGAAAAGCCTGCATGGGGCAGCAAGTGAAGGAACACGAACATGATCGAGGTGACTGAATTTGATATCCAAGGGACGTTTGCGAAATTTCCGTGAGGCCCCTCACGGTACCGAGCCATCTCGCAGTGGCGGCCTTGTCTCTATCGTGTCATTATGACCAGAGCAAACTGTGATGCTCTCATTCTGGTGAGTTGGCATGGTCACTTCACGAAGTGAAGTGAGCCTCAGAACCTTGCTCTCAGCTGAGGCAGGGCCTAGATTGATGATTACAGGACACAGAGGATCAAATCGAAGTCACATTCTCTGTGAATGCTTGCTATAATCGCCGTCGTAGTCTACGGTGAATATTGTACAATTAGAGAGCAACCTCATTGAAGACAGTGAACATCTCATTGTCATCCGTAACACCCCGGCGGGCCTCATCATCCTGCTCGAAGAATCTCATCCAGTAATCAACAGCTCCGATGAGCTCCTTCGTCTTCTTGATGTAGACACCCTCCTTCATCTTTTCACTCTCGACCAGATCGCGGAGGTACGCCTTGCGGCCTCTGATAAAGAGCTCGTGGAGCGCCTTACAGGTCTTGGGCGACACCTCGATCGTGTGTGAAGCCTGGCCGAGACCGCCACCGACGATTTCCTTGGCCCAAATATCATCCGAAACGGCCTTGTAGAACTCTTGGTTCTCCATCTCATAGTCCTTATCCGTCTGGACGTAGGACGAACGACAGGTCGTGGCTGATCCGTAGAGCTGGGTCACGAAGACGTGGATTCGGATGCTGTCGAGGCTGTATGTGCCCTGCAGCCACAGGGACTCGGAGAGGTTGCTGGCCTCCTCTTCAGGGACGGAGTCGTCGTCGGTGAACTTGAAGCCCACGGAGAAGGCTGTCTTGACCGTGGTGGTCAGGCCAAGCATCGCCTTGGTGGTCGTGAGGAAGTTGCGAACCTCGGACTGAACTTTGGCAGGGAGCATGACTTCAACTGAGCCTTGGTCAGAACATGTGTTGAAAGCTTCCAGGCTTGAGATAGGATGAGGCTGCTATGAGAAAAAAGAACGAAAGATGACTTACGCTCACTGGGCTGGTGTCTCTTCTCGAGCTTCCAGGCGACGCGTGTTACAGCACAGAGAATGTTTCTGGACTTTCAGTCTTTGAATTTAATCGTGTCGGACGCATGATGAGCAGTTGTCCTTCGCGAACCTTGTTCACTTATCAGAAATAGTGGGGAAGAGTCCACAGCTTTGAAAGGTTGAGTCAAACATGCGAGTAGGTCTCGTGGTAATATAAAAGATACACGTGAGAAACTGAATTCTGGCATGAAGAATCCATATCGGGGATGATGCTGCTGGCAACGCACTGGACTGCCGCTCTCGTTGAGTTGGTGAGCGCAGCCGTGGTTGTTCGAGAAATGAGGACTTGATCGGCCCCACCCGGCGCTTGGCACGCGCCGGGTCCGCCGATGCCAGTTCCACTCTTCGGCTTGAGCCCTGGAAGCTTGAACCCTTCAACGCCCAAGAGGACCCTACGGCTTGAACGACATGCCTCAATCTTGTGGGAGTTATTCCAATCATTTGGTTTCGAATATATCTCTTTCCCACGTCAGATGCACACTGAACACTTATCTAAGTATATGTTGTTCGCCGGAGAATGAACACAACTGTTCAGCGTTGAACCGAGCTTAAAGGCGTCTGCGCACGGAAGTTCTTTCAAATGATTTCGAAAGGAAACACAAAACTTTTGGAAGCAAGAAATCCTGAGATCAGCTACGCTGCAGCATAACCTCGGCTCTTTTTACCAGGGCGTCAACAAACTTATTGCCCCCTGTTGAAACCTCGGCCAGGCGGCGTGCGATCAGATCGGCCGGCTTGATCACATACTCCGGTACGACAACGTGACCCTTCTTCCACTCATACAGAAACTCGTGCTTCTCTCCCTTGCTCGCCATCTTCTTCGACCTGATAAACCCCTCCAGGGATCTAGGATTGTATGTGGCGTGATTCGCCACGCGGTAGTTGACAGACGGGTGGATCTCCTCATTTGTCTGGCCGAGATCATTGCCAACATCGTCCTTCTTATACTCTCCAGGAGTTCTAAACTTCGAGAAGAACGGCATGGCTCTCAAGATGGGCGCGAATATGTCGACGATTGGCCCCGTGGCCCAGGCGTCTTCCGGGTCGTACAAAGGGGACTTGAAGAACATCTCGTAAATTTTGCTGTAGTCCAGCCCCTGGCGCACGCGCTGCACCACCCAGCTCATACCGAAGGGTTGCTGATTGCGCGAGCGATGGATGAGCCGGTTTCGAGATAAGATTTCGCGATCGGCCAGCGTCGACATTGTATACTTCCCATCCTTGTATCCGTGCTCATCGTCGAGCTGGATGAAGGTCTTGATCTGGGCGCACATCCATGTGAATGAAATCAGAGCAATTTCTGTGACATTGTCAGCTTACCCACTAGGTCCGGCAGATGATCGTCTGAAAACTCACGCTCAAAATCAAAGGGGAAGCCGTAGAGAAGGCCTGGATTACCGCCTCCGATATTGATATGTCCGCCAGGGAACCAAACCTGCCGCAGCTCAGGCTGATCACCATTGAGCTGGTCCGCCATCTCACGCTCGATCAAGGCCTTCCATGCTTGGGAAAGCTCCTCTTCTGTGGCCTTCGAGTTCGCTTTCAAAAGTGACCTGAACTTCTTCGCAAGCTGATCTTTTGGCTGTTCATGGCAGCCGGGACATTGCTCGTTCTTCAGCGGGAGACGCCAGAGCGTTGGCGTAAATGGCTGTCGATGCTCGTCGAGCGCGAGTGCATGGTAAGCATGCCTGATATCTACTACTTATCAGAGGTGCTCGGCTTCCGAGGCTCGCAAGCTTGCGCTAGACTCACATCTACTCAGGGATGGGTTGTGAAATCCAAGGTCATCGACGCCAAGCCAAGGGGCAAGTCTAGCGATTTTGGTAGTCGCGCCCTGCGTCCAAGTCAAGCCGGGAATTCCCAAACTACCGACTGTGTCAAATACTCCGACGACCTCAATGGCTCTAGTAAACTCTGGGGGAAGATTATGCGGCTTTTGGTCCCAGTGATGATCTTCTTGCTCGTGACCTTGCCAGTCTTCGAGAACCTTTGCACGAACACCGGTGATCCACTGTCGGTACTCCTTCGATGAACGGAAGTTGAAGCTGTCATTATGGCCATGTCTTCGGTAGAGGTCGTACAGAGCCGGGAAGTCGTCCATTTCCTGGGGCTGAATGATTCCAATATCTGTAATAAGACCTGCAACAGAGCGAGCCGTGTACGCCCCTCGGGAGAAGCCAAAGAAAAAGAGTTGGTCGTGCGGGGCATAGTTCATAACGATGAAGTTGTACGCCTCGATGACACTGGCCACAAGCCCGTCGCCAAAAGTCGCCTGCCTGCCCCTCTCGAGGATATTCACGCCACCACCCGTGCCGACGCCGGCGCTGTAGAAGACGACCTGCTGGCAGATGCTATCCTCTTTTCCATTCTCTTTGACCGATCCCGTAAGCGCGACGGAGCGGGCTAGGCGGGTCACGTTGGATGGAATGTTCTGTTGGCCGCTGACGGAAGATTGCCAGGTCCCGTCGCAGCAGATAACTATGCGCTTGGGGGTAGATTTCTGGCCCTTGTCTGGTACGAGAGTCTCGCGAGAAACTTGCAGTTTATCTACTTCCTCGAGGTAGTTGGCGGAGAGAAGGGTGTCTTTGGCTTCATTCGTCGCCACTGTGTGGTGGGTTTTGACGCCTGTCGTCCCTTGGACGAAAGATCGCCAAAGGTTTGATGAGTTTGTACTTGAAGGCGAGTTGGGCGACATGTTGAACTTTGAAGAGCGGATGACTGGCGATAATCAATTGTGGCCTACTAGGGATTAGATGGCCATGGCGCGGAGGTGGATATCAAGCAGATAAATGTATGATAGTGGAGGCAGGAGCTCTCCAACAGCTATATGAGCCTTTCTCGCGTACGAAGAGAAGTTATTGCAGCTAAGGCTGAAGGGCTGAACGAATTCCCGCGCAGATGCCGTTTCCAGTCAAGCCAATCCAGCCGAACGCGGTGCGGACACAAGAATCAACAGATGACTTTACACGTGAAGATTACCTTCTTGTATAATCTTACATGACCTTTGTCAAAAACAAGAAATCTTCTTGAAGTTTTGTTTTCATAGCCGATAAAATACCACATGTGAATCAAAGAAAGACAGCCTTGAGGGCCGAAGCAATCTGAGACAACAATGCCGGTTGAACACGGCGAGAATTCTTCGCAAGGACAGGTAAGTTTCCCCCTCCCTATCTCGGAACGGCTCGTGGCTAGCGGCAATGGCACGCTTGAGCGCGTCTCCACCCTCGCACCAAGTCCCGCGTTCGGCACTCCGTTATCTCAACTGAACCCGTGCTTCCAGCTCACCAAGCATTCCACGACGCGTACTAAAATCATACGTAATTGAGGCCGACCACCTCAAAGTCCTATTCCCGTCTCCGGCGGCCCAAGATAACTCTCCGCGATGGTCCCGTTCACCGCCAACACGATCTTCTCAAGATAGACCTCTGGCGAATTGACCTGCCAACGAAGAGTATGCTTCCCCACGCCCATCCGCGGCAGCTGCACGACCTTTGTCCACACATGATCGGCCACATTGTCATTCCACTCTGGGGGTGTATCACCCGGCGTAGCAGGGTCGCCAAGCACGCGTGTGAAGTTCGCGGTGCCGCTACCCTCAGCACCATCATCCGCCAGTGCGAGGGAGAATTCCATTGGGAGGTTTGGGTCTGTGTCGAGCGCACCGTTGATGTAGACCGTGGCGTTGATTGCTTTCGAGATGTTGGAGAAGATGTAGATGTCGTAGTCCACCCATGCGGCACGAGCTGCTTCGCTGGACTGCCGAGCGGCAGTAAATGGTCTCAGGGCGATGGATCCTGATTCTGAGCGGGAGCCAAGGTGCTCGATGTGCGTGAAAGCCACGCCAGCATCACTCTCAGACTCGGCGGATGCGCGTTGGTAGTGAGGCCCCTCGATGGATATGAGGCCGGCTGTCTCAGGGAACCCGACGAAGCCCTCAGGGGCATGATGGTTCAGCACGGGAATATGGATCAAGTCAAAGTAAGGAGCCGGATCCCACTCCACGCAAATCGAAACGGTCTCGTTGAACTCTGTAGGTACCGAGTCCCAGTCAATGGAGACTTCGATTCTCTCCTCAGGTTTGTCATCGGATAAGACGCCGAAAGTACTGGGCACAAGAACCCAAGGGTAAGGGACCTCCAGCGTCCAATTGATGGACTTTCGGTGATCGCCACGGTGAAACAGCTCGATAAGTCGGGATTTTGGCCCGTGAGGTTCCATAGCCGGCAAGACTGGGGAAAAGCCCTCGTCGGTTGGTAATGCCGGATGGATAGAGCCACAAATCCGGCCTTGTCGGTAGGCGCTGAGGGAGTTCTCGACGTATATGCCGAGCTCGCCGACGCCCCAGTCGAATGCTTGCCGTTGTTGGACATATGAAAGGTTAGCGACCACGTCGCTGGACGAGGGCCGCCAGTCCGTGAGATCCATGTCGTACTTTGGCGTAGTGAGTAAGCCTTTCCATTTGCCGTCCAGCATCGTATCGTATTCTTCGGTGAGGTCAAAGTCATCGTCAAAGTGCTGTAGAACCTGTTCTGCGATCAAGTTTGCGGAATTTCGCCTCTCGTAGCTGTACTGTCTATTTCTTCCCGAGCTGATCACGATGAAATGATAATGATATCCGATCAAGGCGGGATACGTGAGGATATGGAACAATGCGATGCGACGATCCTCTGGCATGGCCTCGTGTAGAGCCTTAGCCTTTTCTGCTAGCTGTCTCCAGGCCTCGAGAATGCGGTCTGCCTCACGGTAGTTAAGGATAGAATATGTAATGGGCTGTAGTATCTCGAACTTGCGCATCCCGACCAGGTGGCTGTACGTCATGAGCGCAGAAGAGATCTCTTCGGCGTGCTCCGGACCAAAGTCACGAGTTGCGAGTGCCGTCAGGTAAGATGTTATTTTGGCAAAGCCGAACCTGCTCGTGTTCCATGCCATGTCCATGGCAAAAGAAAGTGGTAACTCGTTGGGCTTGATGTCGCCTACGTTCATGACCCAGATTCGTCGGGTGCCGCGCTCGTAAGCCTGAGATAGCTCTTTGTAGACTTTGGGCTGAATGCGAGTCAGAAGTCTTAGTTATCCTACGATATTTTCCTCGAGGCTAGAGTGGACTTACAAAGTTGTTGGTGTTTTGAGATTTCCAGCTCTTTGGTTTGCCAACGTACTGGAAGTGGAAGTAGACCTGTATAGAGACGATATCAGGATCTAATTATCTCATGAAATTCAGGCACGACTCACTCCAATGCCTCCGACTCTCTCACTCTCTAATTCGGTCGGGAGTCGTTGAATATTTCCCCAATTGTCGTCAGTGAACATCAAGGTCACATCTTCAGGAGGATTTAGGCCAGCTGCATAGTATGTGGCAACTTCCTTGTATATGGTCCACACCTCTTGAGCAGTAGCCAAAGTCAGTCAACAGGCTTGGATGTATAGCACAGGCAACTGCTGGAAGGGGGTTTTTGAACTCACGGTTTGTCGCCGTGACGTTTCCGTGATACTTTGCCAAGATCTCTCGTTCTGTGGCAAAGACATCCTCAAGGACCGCAATCGGATCATCGGCATCGATGGGACCATCATCAGTGCCTCGCATTCCCAATGTAAAGTAGGACTCATTGTTGCCCGCTCGGCGAATCCCCTCGTCCATGAAGGCGACCACGTTCTCTTTATTGTTGACCCAGTCCCAGTCGCCCTTTGGATCTTTCTTCCACTCATTGCTTGCTCGCTGCATGGGCTCATGGTGGCTAGTAGACACGACAATGCCATAATCATCTGCCATTTGCTGACTCCATGGGTCGTCGGTGAAGAAGATCCTTCCCGGCTTAGGAATGTAACTTGCCCACATCGCAGGCCAGATGAAGTTGGCCTTCAGTCGGAGAAGCAGGTCAAAGACGTGCTGATATAACTCGGAGTCAAGGGTAAAGTTGCCCACGTTGTTCTTCTTCCTCCCCCACCAGCCGGTGAGTGCGGGTGCTTCGTCATTGATGAAGAGACCTCGGTATTTCACGCTGGGCTCGCCATGGGTTGTGATCTTGTTGAGAGCGTAGATTTGGGTGTGCTTGGTTGTCGGCACGTCTGCCCACCAATGTAGACTAACCAGGATGTAATCAGCTCGACAAAGTCTCTGGACAGATTTCTGATGCCTTCCTTAATCTCGCAACCCTGCGGTAGGGATGTTTGACATTCTAGACGTCGGATCCTTGCTTGAATGCAGAAGAGGAAGGCTAGGAGACTTACGGCGACTGTCCACTTTGCTCAGAAAGGGTATAAATGCCAAAGATTACAGCTCTCTTATCGCTTCCCGCAATGACAAGAGCGCGGGAGATCCCCGGTAGAGGGCTCTCAACGACCTGGGTTCGAAACGTTTCCCACTTCCCGCCAATGTCCTCGACTTCTATCTTTCCGCTGTTGACAAGCTCCTGAATAATAGCTGATTCGACTGTTCCAGCAATGATTGCAACATCGGCGATGATTGTCGAAAATGCTGCCGTTGCCCCGGTTAGTTTATCTCCTTCCTGGGCTGTCCACAAGTGGACGGATGGCTTTGTTCCTGTGATTTGCTCGAAGTCGCCAGCCAGGTTATTGACTGCAATGCCGATACCTACAGGGTCGTCGGCGTCTTGGATTAAAGTCGCGTCCTGAAGCTCGATAGATCCTTCCGAGGCTTCAAACGCGATGAAAGATTCTTCCAGTAGAGCTGTGATGAGGCTAGCGCATGCCACCAACCACATCCATGGGATGCTACTGTGTACCTTCATAATGGATCATCGGCAAGCCTTACTGGAATATAGTAAAACATACATGGATGAGATGAATTTGATAGAACGAAGGTGGTTGCGTTACTCTAGCTGTGCAACTTGGATATATACACATGAACTGTGTTACACAGCATCGCGTGATGACCGGAATACTATGTCGTGACAAATGCCATTTGACGACCTTCGTATCTTCCATGATATGTCTGTGCAGTTGAACGTAATGGTAGCATGGAAAGCCTGATGACGTCCATAGCGGCACACCTCATGAGGTGAACGGGGAAGGGTAAGCATTCCCGTGGGAACAAGGCGACTTCATTTGTTGACCGAGTGAGTATTTGCAGCTTGACAATCTTGGCGCGGGGTTGCGGGGTTGAGGACGAAGCAAGAGGGCATCGCGTGGTCTTGGAATGATCCATTGCAGTTGTGCAAGCGGACGAATCATTTCCTACTTGAACTCAAAGGTTGCAGATTGCCAAGCCAGATCAGAGCTTATTTACCCGGAAGGAGACCTGCATGGCCTTCATGTACCCCGACAGGATTATCCCGATGTCCGAACATCTCTTGGATCAAGACGATCATTATTGGACAGTGTGGGTATGGCCATGAACAAAAGCAATGCTGTTCTTGTAACGCCTCCTCTATCTCACTTGGACGTTGACGTTTCGATTCTATCATCGGTTTGTGCGGTTGTAGCTGCGCGTCGCTAATCTTTGGTCTCGTCATGTACCTCTCCTCTCTTCTGAAAGACATCACTGGTTGTGAAGAGACGTGGTTGGCTTCTAGGAACACCCGAAGTATCTCAATCATCATCCACGTTGCCATCCGAATAGTACTCAAAGGCCGTGGGCAGTGGTGCGTCTTTGCTGTTGGGGCCGTCCGGATCAACTTCATCCACCAAGTGCTTCTTGACTTCCTGCGCGACAGGCTGGGTAGAGTCCACAGGGGCAGAGCCTTGGACTGGGCCCGGTGAGTGGTGGGTATGGTCTGCTCGCAACATCGTTGTCATCCACTTTGCCCATTCCCAGGGCTTCTCTCGGCCAGATGGCAAGCTGTTGAAGTACTCCCACCCCATGACTCCTCCAAACCGCGCATAACGATTTCGGAGCGTCAGAAGCACAGCGCCGAGCATTTCCCATGGGACCCATCCGCCACCGTTCTCAGGATTCGTGACCAGGCCCATGACGACCTTCTCCGGTGCCCAGCCCTTTGCGAGGATCATCTCGTACATGATCGGGTTACTGACGTCGCCCCATCCGCAGTAGAACTGAGCATTGTACCAGGCAATCTCTTTCCCTCGCATGACCTCCAGAGCCTCGTAGTCGAAGCCACTCAGGTTGTTCTCGGAGTTCAGCAGTGCCGCGGCCACGGGCGCCATAGAAATGAGGAAGTCCTTGCCAAAGTCTTGTCGCACGCGGTCAATGAGCCGTATAACACCGCCTAGGCTCATCTCCTCTTCGACGTCGAGATCGATACCATCCAGCCCGCGTGAGCGAAGCATGTCGCGCAAGGGTATGTAGTATTTTTCAAACTTCTCCTCGTCCCCATCCAGCCTCTCGTAGGAGCCCTTAGCGGCACCGCCGAGCATACCAAGTACCTTGACGCCGCTGGCCTGCAGCACCCGTAGCTCAGCCCATAGTGTTAGGAATCGCGGGTTATCGGGGGTATGGTCGTTCAAGGTAAGGCCGTGGGGATCATCGTTAATGTGTATCGCCGCGAGAATTACGTGGGTGACGCTGATCCCTCCTTGGGTAAGGAGGGGGAGGATCGAGATGGGCTTGCCGTCGGGCGTGTGATGTGTTTGGTAGTAGGTGATTACCCGTGGGAGAGGCTGAGGCGGTACGGGCGGCATTGGAGCGAAAGAGGTTGGCTGCCTCGATCCCGCGAGGATCGAGGGCTTCCGTATGGGATTGGAACGACAGACGCGACGCGTGGGATGGTGGAAGATCGGGTGGTTGCATGCGCCAGCGCTTTGGAAGAGCTAACCATGCGGGGGTGGAAATTGGGAGGTGTTCGGATTGACGGCCCCTCCGCGAGGCCCTGCTGAGAGCTGCGTCATCAGGGCCCTCGCAGCTGACATAAGCTCATTTCTATTTCATCCCTGCTTCACTCACTCTCTCGCTCACTCACATCGACATCTCACCTCATCGACCATGAAAGTTGCGCTTAAGTCATGCATTTTGAATCATTTATTTGATGAATCCTTGATTTATTGGAACTGATACTCGAAAACTTCCATTCATCTTTCTACCGTGTCACCATCTACACCCACTAGAGCTTACAATCTGAGGCCGCCGCATAGATGAAAAGCCTATTAACAACGTCGATCAACTACGCCTACCAGATTGGCTGCTTCCCACCCTTATCCATGACTCTAGTCTTGCTCGGATACTGGGATACCACGTGGAAGCACCCAACGGAATACACTGTGAGAAAAACCCCAATGATATAGTACAACTGTTGATCGAAGATTTCCGGAATAGTGAGCACAAAGAACCCGAAAGGCGCAAAGGTCCAGATGGTGCCGATAATGTTGACGACGCAGAAACCGAGAGATAGTCCATGCCGGGACCCAGCCCTCAAGTAGTGATGCGTAGGTCCAAGGACGATCAGGACGTTGGTGAAGCAGAACCATTGCATGACGGATCCCTCACCCATGAACTCAATGGCCAGAAGCACGATCGAGTACATGCCCATCTGCAGCGCTAGGGCGTATGTAATGGCTGCCGGCATTGATGGCTGCTTTCCGAGGACATTCCCAAAGCTGGCATCGCGCTCTTTGGTGATGGATCGATGGATAGTCCATACTTCCAGCATCGTCCAGAGGAGGAGCGCTATTGACGTGCCTCTCAGGTACCAGTGCTCCCCGTACTGAGAGGCGGCCTTGCCAAGGGTATAAGACCATGTCGAGTCGTGCGCGAGGTAAAATGAATGCATCCAGAAGGGCATCGGGCCCTTTCCTTCACGTAGGGTGAGCCTGACAACGTAGGTATACTGGAGGTAGCCGATGATGAAGCTGACGGCAGAAGCGATCAAAATTGGAGTATTGTCCAAACGATAGACCTCCGTTATACGCTCATAGTAGTTAATTGCCGTCATGTTGCCGTTAGATCCACTGAGGTAAGGTGATAAATGTAAGTGCAATCTTGCACGGAGTTTAGAAGAGATTCGACGCCGGCAAGCGGATTCAATCCAGCACTGAAAACCGAGTAGAAAGAGATCATCACCAGCAGCATTCTGGCAGAGTCTTCTTATAAGACTTCAGAATCTAGTCTAAGGGAAGGCAATGCCCAGTCCTTCATAGCATGATCTAAGTCAAGGTTTGAAGACATCGGCGCCGAGATTCCAAGTCGAGACAGTCTAAACCAGCGCCAGCGCTATGGCCCCCACCGAAATACCGGCAACCAGGTTCTTGACACGGATGTCCCTGGTTTCTGGGATTCTAAAAATGCAAGTGGGATGTTGATGTCTCCGCTTCATCGGGGTCCAACGCACACCGCTTGAACTCTGACATGAGCATCTCAACATTGTCAGCCAAGCTTCGGCCGAACACATCGCCGCTCAAGCTGACTGTGTAGAATGCACTGGCCAGTGGCCAGAAGATGAAATCAGAAATCACGTAACATTCAAAGCTCATGAAGACCTAGATAACCTCTTCATACTGGTTGATCAGGCGCTGAGGCACAAGACCCCGTAACACCACTACGCCAGCGTGCACAATCCCCCATCTCACCGTCGTCAAAACGTCCGCCATAATCCAAACCAAGCCATTCGTCCTCTTCCGCTCTCTCCGTAGAGCGACCTCGCCCCGTACCGCGCGCTCCGACATGCTCGCAACCAGAGCCTCCATCTCACCTTGCGGATCCCAAATCATCTCGTCGTCCTCAAAGTCATCCTCATCATCAAAGGCGTCAAACGCCCGCCGCGAAGATGCCCCGTACGATCGACTAGGTCGCGCGTGGTGATAGGCCCAGCAGGTCAGCGTCGCCAGGTACAGACACCACGGCACGTGGAAGAGGTTCATGGCCTCCATGCTGTTCAGCGTTCTCTTGGTTTCGACTAGCATTCTCGCCGCGTGCCATGCTGCTTCGGACGCGGATTGCTTGGATTGGTCGGCGTTGGTGTCGGCAGACCCTCCTCGATCTTGTCTTGGGACGAGTGGGTGGTTTTGCTGCTGCTGCTGTGTCTCGCAAGCTGACGCAGCCCATTTCTTCACAACCTGTGCGGATCTGTGGTAGTCTCGTTGCTGTACTGGCCTACCGAGGATGTGACGAGCACCAGCGTATATCTGAACATCCAAGAAGTCCATGTTGAGTAAAGCTTGTGCTGAATGATAGAGAGCCTTGTATGCTGCCGCGAACGACTCGAACTCCACTTTCCGAGTCATATCTTCGTCGCCCTCCTGCCGTTGAACTCCCTGGGCCTGGGAGGCAGATCCCCGTTGTAATTGGGACGCGAAGCTGCCGCAGAATGCATCAAAGTCGTTTTTCCAAGCGTCGTAGGCGGTACTCAGCAATTTGCGCCAACCCATCTCGAAGCTATCTCCGGAGACGACACCCAGAGCCGTCTGATCACGCCGGCCCATGTCCCAAGAAATGGACATCAAGCCATGAAGAACAAGAATCCTCGAGAATCCAGTGAGGCCAGCTGGTCGCGGGGCTGAAGGTGTAAGATAAGATTTCAGAGTGGGCAAGTAGAACAACCTCTGGTCGCTAAGACTTGAGCGCCATGCCGACGCCCATGATGCGGCATCCCGAGCTTCCCATATGCTCTGGCTGCACGGTAGTTCCAGTCGGAGCTCAAAGGCTGACATGCAGAGACTCTGGCAGAAGAGAACTGCGTGCTGAGTATCCCACATAAAACAGAGCAAGGCCAACCTGGGCTTCTGTTAGCCCTCTGCTGACTACAACGAATGCAAAGGGAACGTCAAGACATACCTTTTCTTCTGCTCCGCATCGGCCCACTTCCTCCATGCCTGGTCCAAGATGCCGGCGTTATCTTCG